ATGCAGATTTACAACTAAGTTCAAGTTACAAGTCCAAATGCACATGGCAAACACATACTGATCTGCTTTTTAAAGAGCATGTGGCACAGTTGGGAGGCTCTAGTCAAGAAAGACCAAGGACTCTAGTAGCAGGAAGTGTTGCAATCAGGATTGAGGTGCACTGGGTGGGAAGTTTTCACACCACTTAGTCATGCTCTCAGGTGCTATGAAATAATAATTCACGGGATTCATGGTTTACCCATCTGTTAGATAGAGGTATCAATACTCATGTATTTCCTAGAAGTGTTGTGAGGTTTCATAAATGAACATTCTGCAAGGGACAGGCAGATAACAGGTGGACAAGAGAATAGTGTGTTGCCTTCCCAAACCAAGACACAAGATGTCACTCTAAGATTGGATAGGCTTCTGAAGTCTATGGGTAAGGATCCATTAGTGATTCATACTGGCACTCATGACACTGCATCAAGGATTATCTGGTAGATAGTAGATGACTTCAGGGAAATGTGCTGAAAAAGACTACCCAAGCAAGACTATCCTCTCTGAGATCCTTCCTGTCCCATGAGCAAAGGAAGACAGAAGGCAGAAAATTCTGCAAGTGAGTTGCTGGCTAGGTAAGTGGTGTAGTGTGGAAGACTTTGGTTTTGTGGAACATTGGTCCACCTTCAAAGGGATCTGTATAGTTTGGATGGCGTCCACCTCAGTAGAAGGGGGCCCAATCTCCTCAGGCACAGGCTGGCTAGAGTAGTCGGGGATTAAACTAATAACAAAAAAGGAATGTGATGGGGTGGACTAGGTCCGGAGGCCCCCTGCTGGAGGCCTCGTGGCCATGCCTCACCCCCCCGCCTGTCAGAAAAGAGCAGAGGAAAAGTCCTCCAGGCAGTGTAGAGTGGATGCAGAGGAACTAGCCAATCGGGGCAAGAAGGGCCATATTAAAAGGAGCAGCAGCGGCAGAGCAGTCAGTTGCTACCTGGAGCTGAAAGAGGAAGCACTGGCTGGAGGAGCAGCGGACTGTGGGCAGCACAGCGCAGGCAAGACTGAGTCCAGGGAGGGTTTCTGAAGACCAGTGGAGCTAAGAGGGTGCTTCTGGCTGGCTGAGGGGACCAAGCAAGGCCTGAGCCCAGAACCTAGCCAGAGCAGGCAAGGATACCGTGATGGGCCCTGCTAGTCTGTTTAAAGACTGAGCCCAGGGAGGGCTGCTGAAAAGGACACACCAACTGAGGGTACTGTGATGGGCCCTGTTGGACAGTTATAGAAGGGAGTGTCTCCAGGGAGGAAGCCTTGGCGGTACTGCCCCATACCAGGGTCATGAGAAAGTAAAGGTTGTATACCCCGGAAGGGGTTGTTTGTTTGTTCCATCTACAGACAGTGTGTGTGACTCAGCCAGAGAGCTGAAGACCTGCTGAAGAAACCACCAACCAGAAGAGGGGCACTCATGAGAGGTGAGTGCTGACCCTGTTACAGGGAGGATAAAAAGAGGGAAGATATAAGCACTCAGTCAGCACAGAATTGAGATGTTGAGAACAAAACCAAAGAACATGAAATGAAGAAATCCTTAAATTGTCTATATGCTAATGTTAGGAGTCTGGGAACAAATGAGGAATTGGAACTGCTCATTTATTAGCATAAATTCAATCTAGTTGGTATTACTGAAAACTGATGGGATGATTTGTACAACTGGAATGTTAAAATCAATGGTCCTAATCTATTTAGGAAGGATCAAGTGGGCAAAATGGGAGTGGGAGTGAGTAGTACTATGTCCAAAATGGCATTACATCATTTTCTTCTGAGTTGAATGCTTATGGATCATTGTCCTAACAGGGCTAGCTCATATTCTTAAAATTCATTATGTACAGTCTATTCAGCCTTACATCCTACCAGGTTCTTCAGTGGTTTGCAATAAAAACTGATCTTCACTTAATTAACTATTTTGTTCGGAAGCCAGTGGCACCTCATGCTAGCTGTGATAATTCCTTCACAATTCCATGGGCCATACAAATAGCTTCATTATGAAAATAGCATATGGTCGTGCTTACAATTGGTTGAGGCTAGGTTGTCTTTGACAGTCTTCTAATACTGGCTGTCAGAGCAAATGAAATAGAATGAAAGTGTGAATACGTATTTCATTCTAATGAGGAAAAATATTGAATTAAGAATAGCTGAATACTAATGGCTGCCATCTATTTTCACTCTTACAAAAGAAATCATGCCCATCTGCTTGGTGCCAGGTTCTGATAAAACAACAGATGGGTCTCGCAACCAGCAAGAATGCAATGCCCTGGAACCTGATTCACAGGCCTGTCTTTTGCACTTTTTATGTACATGGTGGATTTCCATGTGCAATTTAAGTGTGTACAGAGATAGGATGGAAGGAATAGATCATTTTGGGATACAACTGAGTGTGGATGTGGAGAAACTGCTCCAGTTACCCTGTATTTCTTTATCTCTGTTGCTTTACATAGATTTGAGCAAATCATTATTTTACAGGTGAAATGGATTTGGATATAAAATAAGAATCAACCCACGGTGTCAACACGTCCCTTTTTGGAGAGTTGAAAAAGTTAGTTAAACTCATTCTCACCTTCCTATTGTTTTTCATTTTCTGTACTTACGTGTTTCATCAAAGGAAATGTAAGAAAATACTGCAGGAAAAGTTGGGAAGGTGGTATCTGGCCAGAAGCAGGAAGTTGAGAAATCTTGGGCGGGAGGGGGAAAACCCTCTTCTTGAGATCTGAAGCCCAATTTTAGAGATCTAAAAGATTTGGATACTTGGAAAAACAGCCAGAAATGTGGGTGCTCTTATTTGTCTTTGGGGGTCACCATTCCGTGGCTTCTATTGGGGTTTCTTCAAAGCCATATTTTTACCTAGGTGCCGCTTCAGGAAATGCCTAAGATTTAGCATGTGCTTTAGTGGTGTCTTGACAAGGGATTCTTTCCTGAAGCAAGTATCAGAGGAATCAAGAATCAGGGCCTTAAATCTAAGAATGATTTGCAGAACAGTAGAAATTTGGTGGAATAGAAAGATCTTTATTTCTTTCCCACTGAGGATTAGAACAAGAGGTGATTGCAGCATCTTGGCTTCCCTGGTAAGTTCTTACAATTAAATAAGAGATTCAGAGCCAGAAAGTATTTCATTAGAACTGTTGCTGACTGAGAGAGACTTTTACTGAGATCCACATCTTGTCTGGTCTCATTGCTGGTGAGAGACTGTAGCATTAAGCCCTATACTTCAGCACTAAACACAGTAAGGACATTGATTCTCAAACAGCAGCTAGTGAGCAGCAGCCTCAAGTTTTCATACTAAAAGCTTCCTGAGATGCAAGGTGAAAAGTTTCTGTGAATCAGACCACGTCAATGCTATTTTAAATTTACCAGGTAGTTTATTCCAGTGGTTGGGGGTTGTAACACAGAACACCAGCCTGTTGTTGTTATTTCTGACTTTAGTCACTTTTAAATTAGCAGACATGGTTCAGTGAAAGGCAGTTCTACCACTTGCATTGTGTAAAAGGGAATGGAAACAGGCAGGGGCTAACAGCTAGGCAGTGTCTCATCATAAACCAACGAATGACACTGCCTTAGCTCTACAGGTCTACAGGCAGTCCCCGATCTATGACGAATGGCACTTACGACGTTTCTGAATTGATACCCTCATTCAACATGCAACGTTGGTTTTGACTTTATGATGCTCGGTCCCGCAATGGAGTGGGCTGTGGTTCCAAGCTACGGCATTTCAACTTATGATGCAATTTTCAGGAACCAATTGTGTCGTAAGTCCGAGGACGCCTGTATTTAGCTGGCTGCAGTTATCCCAGTGATGGGCTGTAAATTCAAAAGAGAAAACAAGCCTGCAGAGTTTTATTATGTACTCTCCATGCTTGTAGTACCACCTCAGGTGCATTTTCTTATCCAGTCTCCCTATAGTCCACAAAAAGAAAGGGAGTACTTGTGGCACCTTAGAGACTAACAAATTTATTTGAGCATAAGCTTTCATGAGCTACAGCTCACTTCATCGGATGCATACATATAGTCTAGGATACTAGTGCAGAATGCGGGACAAGCTGAAATTCTAGCCAAAGGTTTGAAAGAATCAATGACACTAATGAATTGAAAGAGTGGGTATTTTCCTTCCTTGACTTACAATCTAATTTTTAGAGACAGAGACTCGGTGGGTAATCAGGACCCTGCAATAGTTCTTGGGAAAGAGAAGAGGCCAAAGAGCTAGAGCAGGCAACATATGCATGTCTGAACCCTGATCTACCGGGGTCACAGATGCGTTATGGGAGATTTCGGTATATTTTCCTCCTTTTTTTTTTTTTTTTTAACTTTCTCACTGCCTTGGAAGAAACCGGACAAGCTCATAAATCTTTTCAGCTGTCCAGAGATTGCAAGATAAACCCTTTCCCCTTAAAATTACCTTCTGATATGTCAGGACAAGGAGAAAAATCTCTGTCAGGCAAGGAAACTATTGCAGTTCAAAGGTAGCTTCCTTAATTCCTTCTCATAAATTGGTTAAACTCAATAGGAAGCCTCACCCCAATAATGACGACAGAACCATCTTGGCAACATGTCACACATACTGATGATGAGGAGAGAGGGGATAATGGCTGAAACAAGGAGTAACAGAGTTCCAGAGTCTCTGCAGACAAAATCCCAGGAATACTTAATTGACTAGCATGGTGCTGGGCACATTAGAAGTGCACTGAGGAACATATGTGCAGTGCTCCCATGTTCTCTTTGATAATATTGTAGTCAGATGCTTTGGCATTCGTGGATGGTTAGGATGTGACCCCAGTCTGTAGTACGAGACACCTTTAGCTCATGCTTGGAACCACCTTTAATTCATTTGCTCTACTCTTTTGGTTGCACTGCTCTAGGAAAACTGCCAGTTGGGTTTCTCTCTGCTTCACGTGGCTCTGTTGACAGGAGATAACACCATCTGACACAACTGATGTTGGCTATCATTCACGCTAGGGCAGTGGCTGCGCAGACCTGAAGCATTTGCTGCTTTTTCCAGTGGAAAAATGTCTCATGACAGGTACGATAAAAAATTAAGAGCACGTTCCTGCCCTCTCTGGCCTCTTCTTCAGAGAAGATTCAGAGCAGGCTGCACTGCAGGGACAGGAGGACGGTGAAGAAATTTGGCAGCATGTGACCTCCAGAAGAAGAAAGGGGAGCGTCCATGTACCAGCAACGCAGACACAGGTAAGTAACCGTTTTCATGTTCTCTCCACAGGTACTAATGCAGAGAGTGGACTATATGATACATCTGAGGGAAGGGAACAGAAGGAGACTCTGCCGATTGGAAGGCATAAGATGCACTGTCCTAGGGTTGGGGGTTCCATGACCACTGCTCCCAAGAGAAGGAGGCGGGTGGTGGTGGTCGGGGACTCTCTCCTCAGGGCGACTGAGTCATCTATCTGCCGCCCTGACCGGGAAAACCGAGAAGTCTGCTGCTTAACCAGGAACTAGGATTCACAATGTGATGGAGAGACTGCCGAGACTCAACAAGCCCTCAGATCGCTACCCCTTCCTGCTTCTCCACGTGGGCACCAATGATACTGCCAAGAATGACCTTGAGCAGATCACTGCAGACTACGTGGCTCTGGGAAGAAGGATAAAGGAGTTTGAGGTGCAAGTGGTGTTCTTGTCCATCCTCCCCATGGAAGGAAAAGGCCTGGGTAGAGACCGTTGAATTGTGGAAGTCAACGAATGGCTACGCAGGTGGTATCGGAGAGAAGGCTTTGGATTCTTTGACCATGGGATGGTGTTCCAAGAAGGAGGAGTGCTAGGCAGAGACGGGCTCTACCTAACGAATAGAGGGAAGAGCATCTTCGCAAGCAGGCTGGCTAACCTAGTGAGGAGGGCTTTAAACTAGGTTCACCGGAGGAAGGAGACCAAAGCCCTGAGGTAAGTGGGGAAGTGGGATACCGGGAGGAAGCATGAGAGGGGAGGGCTTCTGCCTCATACTAAGAAAACAAGACAAACAGCAAGTTATCTCAAGTGCCTATACACAAATGCAAGAAGCCTGGGAAACAAGCAGGAAGAACTGGAAGTTCTGGCACAGTCAAGGAATTATGATGTGATTGGAATAACAGAGACTTAGTGGGATAATTCACATGACTGGAGTACTGCCATGGATAGATATAAACTGTTCAGGAAGAACAGGCAGGGCAGAAAAGGTGGGGGAGTTGCATTGTATTTAAGGGAGCAGTATGACTGCTCAGAGCTCCGGTATGAAACTGCAGAAAAACCTGAGAGTCTCTGGATTAAGTTTAGAAGTGTGAGCAACAAGGATGATGTCGTGGTGGGAGTCTGCTATAGACCACCGGCCCACGGAGATGAGGTGTACAAGGCTTTCTTCCAGCAATCCATGGAAGTTACTAGATCGCAGGCCCTGGTTCTCATGGGAGACTTCAATCACCCTGATATCGGCTGGGAGAGCAATACAGCAGTGCACACACAATCCAGAAAGTTTTTGGAAAGTGTAGGAGACAATTTCCTGGTGCAAATGCTGGAGGAACCAACTAGGGGCAGAGCTCTTCTCGACCTGCTGCTCACAAACCGGGAAGAATTAGTAGGGGAAGCAAAAGTGGATGGGAACCTGGGAGGCAGTGACCATGACATGGTCGAGTTCAGGATCTTGACACAGGGAAGAAAGGAGAGCAGCAGAATACGGACCCTGGACTTCAGAAAAGCAGACTTTGACTCCCTCAGGGAACTGATGGGAAGGATCCCCTGGGAGAATAACATGAGGGGGAAAGGAGTCCAGGAGAGCTAGCTGTATTTTAAAGAATCCTTATTGAGGTTACAGGGACAAACCATCCCGATGTGTAGAAAGAATAGTAAATATGGCAGGTGACCGGCTTGGCTTAACAGTGAAATCCTTGCTGATCTTAACCACAAAAAAGAAGCTTACAAGAAGTGGAAGATTGGACAAATGACCAGGGAAGAGTATAAAAATATTGCTTGGGCATGCAGGCATGAAATCAGGAAAGCCAAATCACATCTGGAGTTGCAGCTAGCAAGAGATGTTAAGAGTAACAAGAAAGGTTTCTTCAGGTATGTTGGCAACAAGAAGAAAGTCAAGGAAAGTGTGGGCCCACTACTGAATGAGGGAGGCAAATTAGTGACAGAGGATGTGGAAAAAGCTAATGTACTCAATGATTTTTTTTGCCTCTGTCTTCACAAACAAGGTCAGCTCCCAGACTACTGCACTGGGCAGCACAGCATGGGGAGGAGGTGACCAGCCTTCTGTGGAGAAAGAAGTGGTTCGGGACTATTTAGAAAAGCTGGACGAGCACAAGTCCATGGGGCCGGATGCGTTGCATCCGAGAGTGCTAAAGGAGTTGGCGGATGTGATTGCAGAGCCATTGGCCATTATCTTTGAAAACTCATGGCAATTGGGGGAAGTCCCGGAGGACTGGAAAAAGGCTAATATAGTGCCCATCTTTAAAAAAGGGAAGAAGGAGGATCCTGGGAACTACAGGCCAGTCAGCCTCACCTCTGTCCCTGGAAAAATCATAGAGCAGGTCCTCAAGGAATCAATTCTGAAGCACTTAGAGAAGAGGAAAGTGATCAGGAACAGTCAGCATGGATTCACCAAAGACAAGTCATGCCTGACTAATCTAATTGCCTTCTATGATGAGATAACTGGTTCTGTGGATGAGGGGAAAGCAGTGGACGTGTTGTTCCTTGACTTTAGCAAAGCTTTTGACACAGTCTCCCACAGTATTCTTGCCAGCAAGTTAAAGAAGTATGGGCTGGATGAATGGATTAAAGGTGGATAGAAAGTTGGCTAGATTGTCCGGCTCAACGGGTAGTGATCAATGGCTCCATGTCTAGTTGGCAGCCGGTATCAAGCGGAGTGCCCCAAGGGTCGGTCCTGGGGCCGGTTTTGTTCAATATCTTCATAAATGATCTGGAGGATGGTGTGGATTGCACTCTCAGCAAATTTGCAGATGACACTAAACTGGGAGGAGAGGTAGATACGCTGGAGGGTAAGGATAGGATACAGAGGGACCTAGACAAATTGGAGGATTGGGCCAAAAGAAATCTGATGAGGTTCAACAAGGACAAGTGCAGAGTCCTGCACTTAGGACAGAAGAATCACATGCACCGCAACAGACTAGGGACCGAATGGCTCGGCAGCAGTTCTGCGGAAAAGGACCTAGGGGTTACAGTGGACGAGAAGCTGGATATGCGTCAACAGTGTGCCGTTGTTGCCAAGAAGGCCAATGGCATTTTGGGATGTATAAGTAGGGGCATTGCCAGCAGATTGAGGGACGTGATCATCCCCTCTATTCGACATTGGTGAGGCCTCATCTGGAGTACTGTGTCCAGTTTTGGGCCCCACACTACAAGAAGGAAAAATTGGAAAACATCCAGCGGAGGGCAACAAAAATGATTAGGGGACTGGAACACATGACTTAGGAGGAGAGGCTGAGGGAACTGGGATTGTTTAGTCTGCAGAAGAGAAGAATGAGGGGGGATTTGATAGCTGCTTTCAACTACCTGAGAGGTGGTTCCAGAGAGGATGGTTCTAGACTATTCTCAGTGGTAGAAGAGGACAGGAAAAGGAGTAATGGTCTCAAGTTGCAGTGAGGGAGGTTTAGGTTGGATATTAGGAAAAACTTTTTCACTAGGAGGGTGGTGAAACACTGGAATGCGTTACCTAGGGAGGTGGTGGAATCTCTTTCCTTAGAAGTTTTTAAGGTCAAGCTTGACAAAGCCCTAGCTGGGATGATTTAGTTGAAGGTTGGTCCTGCTTTGAGCAGGGGGTTGGACTAGATGACCTCCTGAGGTCCCTTCCAATCCTGATATTCTATGATTCTTGAGGAGTTGCATAGGATGTCAAAATGTCAGGATTCATTTTTTAAATCTCTGGCCTGTCGTGTGTTGCTGTCTCTGACTAGCCTATATTTGAAGTCTAAAGAAATCTAAATTCCTCCATTTTGGGTGAGGATGTACTTCCAATATTCCCATAGCTACTGGATGCTTATATTTATCTTTCTCTCCCTCTCTTGGTGGCAGCATTGTGATATGTCGGCTTTCTGTGTCTCTGCACTGGGTCTGTCTGCAGTAGCAGCTGTCTTCTGTGTGTGGCTTCCTGTGGTGGTTCGACACTGGCTTTACCAGTTAGAGGAGTCCCCCATCCAGTAGTTGGACTCTCTCTGCATCCTGCATGTGTTGCAACTGAGACGCAAACAGATTCCCATGGTATGTAGACAGCAGCAGGATGAGATGAGCAAAAATGGAAACTCCTGTTGTATTTAGGAGGTAGCAATGCTAGGCCCTTCTTTCTTATGCAGTATTTGTGTCCTGACAACCTAACAGAACATTGCTTATTGATATTTATTGTTTCACCTCCTTCTGGGGCAGCTGGTACTGCTTTGTGTCTGAGTGAAACACATATGTCTATGACCTGCTCCAAAGAGAGGGCAAAGGAGTATAGACTACTACCAGTAAAAGAAGTTGTCCTATAGCTCATGGTAGCTGAAGGACCAGGGATTTAGGCCCAGCTCCCCAGAGGTGTCTTTGTGATCTCTAGACTAATTGTGACCCTTCTCTGTAATACATTGGCTCATTGCAGTTTGAACAGCATTAACCTCATCTCTTCTGCGACCAGAGCTTTGCTTATCTAGCATTCCCCACCGTTGTTCCTTATTCCTGCATTTGGACTTTCAGACTTCAACTGCAAAGTCAAGATCTTCATGGCATGGTTCTTCCAAGTTGCCATTTTGTCAGGCTTTGGCAGGGCTTTATCCAGGCTTCCATGAAAATTCTAATGCTTTAAAAACTTGAACCTCAAAATTCTGCAACCCGTTCTTGCAGCAAATCTAAACTTTAGCAGGAAGAAGCCCCTCTTGGGGTTAGTTACCTTTGACCTGGCACCTCTGCAATAGGAACGGGAAGCTGGTTGAGGATGCAGTGGGGAGCTTACTATAGGCAGCTGCAGAGTTACAGGTCTCGCCAACACTGAAGGTTAGAGTTAGCTCAAACTGCAGTTCCATTATAGTTGTCACTGCTGAAGTTACTGTTGTTCCAGCCTTATGGTGATTGAAAAGAGATCAACTGTTTTATTATGTAGTGGTCATTTTACAGCATGGGCTACAATTAGGATGGGGAGCAGAGCTTGCCTGTTAAGAGCATTTCCGGCTCTTTGCATTCTACAGACAGTGCCATAACAAATGGTGGAGAGGATT